AAGACCTGCCCTGTCCTCATGCCCACTGCCAGGATTGAACCCTCTGCTGCAACCACTGTATCAAGCCATCTCAGTGAGGACCGTCTCCTTTACTGGCACACCACTTTACCAAGTATGTTGTCCTTCAAGGACTGGTCCCTCTTGGTAAAAACAGTCCAAGGACTGTAAGACAAAGCCTTGTCCTCATTTCAAAAAAGCATTCTAGATGAACTTCTCCCACGACAGAGTTGTCCACTCTTCTGGCAGCCACAGTAAAGGTTCTTTGCTAACTCCTTAATTCAGAGGCATCAATTCTTCAGTCTTCTTTATTAATTGTCCAACTTTCTCATGCATCTGAGGCAAGTGAAAAGACCATGTCTTGAGTAAGATATACTTTAGTTATCACAATAACATTTACTCTCTAGCACTTTAAGTCATTTGCATAAAATGCTTTATCGTATGACCTTGAAATGCAAATACTGCCAACTTAATATCCAATATTTAATTGTTGTTGTTATGTGCCATCAAGTTGCCTGTGACTCATAGTGGCCCTATTTACAACAGCCCTAAACCCTGCTCTATCCTTTGCTGATCTTATTGTCTCTTATACGCCTATCCCCATTACCCCAGTCACTGAATCAATCCATCTCATCGAGGGTCTTCCGCTCCTGCGCTGTCCCTCCAACTTCCCAAGCATGACGTCTCTCTCCAAGGACTGATCCCTCCTTGCAACATGTCCAAAATATGTTAGACGAAGCTTCAGAATCCTTGCTTCCAAGGAGCAGTCTGGCTTCACCCTCTCCAGGACGAACTTGTTTGTTCTCCCAGCAGTATATTCAATACTATTCTCCAGCACCACAACTCAAAGTCATCAATTCTCCTTCTATCAATATTTAATACCCATTTAAAAACTATACTTGACTTTTTAAAGACAGTTTAACCTAACCCAGGGCTGAGGAATCAGATCTGAACTCAGGCCTCTGCTGGATCCTCACAGGGCTATGTAGAAATACAGTATTTTAAATAAAGCTGCTCTCTCTCTTTCTGATTTAATTACATTGCATCAAGAAAGACATAGTAACAATATGAGGATGGCATTGCTAAACGTTCTAATTGGGATTACCAACTTTGTAACTGTTCAAAGACAGACAAAGACAGAGCCAAGTAACAGATAATACATTGGATGCCCCAGTTGGGTTGAAAATATAAAAGAAAGAGGGTTATTTTCTATTGAGATAAAAATATTTTTGGAAGGAAAAGCTAAAAGAGACCTCCTTACACTGCAAGGAGAAAGGCCAGTGCTATCAAGACAGTACAGCTTCTCATGATGAGGACACTGAAAGGGACCTGATTGTGTGGATACGTTTTGGTACACTGACTAAAATCACCAAGCCAGAAGCAGCTCTGGAGGCTCAGTGGTAAGGAGTTGGGCTGTCAACCTAGAGGTGCATGGTTCAAATTCATCAGCAGCTCAGTGGGAGAGAGACAGGCAATCTCTTTTAGTGTGATTTACTGTCTCTGAAAACTTGGGTCAGTTATCAGTCTGTTCCAGCTCGATGCTACATAACAATGACAACCACCTCAAGCCCATTATCATTCTCGTCATGTAGACAATTATACATATGTTGTTGTTGTGAGCTGTCGAGTATGACTCATAGCAACTCTGTGAAAAACAGACCTGAACCTTGTCTTTCCCTGTGCCATTCTCATTGTTACTGATAACATTTGAACCCATTACTGCAGTCACCGTGTCAATGCATCTCATTGGGGGGAGGGGTGTCTTCCTCTCTTTTGCTAATTCTCCATCTTTCCAAGCATGGTGTCCCTTTCCATGGAATAGCTTGCTTTCTAGGTCTGTGGTCTTTAGTAGAAGAAAAGTTTTCCGCTATTACTTCAACTAAAGTAATTAGAAGAAACGATACTTAGAAGAATTCTTGCATGTTGTTGCTGTGTGCTGTCAAGCTGGAACTGACCCTCCAGTGGGTTTGCAGACACTAAAATCACATGGGAAGGGATTTACCATCCTTCTTCCATAGAGTAGCTGGGGATTTGGGCCATATGCCTTTAAGATTGCAGCACAGCTTCTTATCATGGTTCCCAAAACACACCAGAATGACAAGCTCAGCTGTCCTTTGCTGCCTGTCCACCTTCTTTGGGGACTATTGGTGATTGTACTTGGAACTCATCGTCTTTGCCATAGACCTGGGTTGGGATCAGATGATTCTGGGATAGCTAGTCTGTTTCCCAGTCGTGCTGGGAATTGTCCAGGGCTGATGGCTGTGGAAAGTGATGTGTCACATGTTCCTCAGCTGGATCTGTTATCTGCCCAGACACCTCAACATCTTCATGTAAACCCATCCTAAGATTTTAGTACATATTTATGAGAAGTTCTGTCATTTGCATAGGATAGTTAGGGAGAAGCAAACAGTCACAGCAGGAAAATGAGTCTGGGATGCCCCATATAATAGTTAATCAAGCCTCAAATGCAACAGCACTATTTGTTCTGATGGTTTAGTGGTAAGAAGCTACACTGCCAACCCAAAGGGACAAGGTTTGAATCCACCAGTTGCTCTGCTGGAGAAGAACAGTCATTCTCTTCCCCTGCAATTTACTGTCTCTGAAAAGCTGCTAGAGGGTCAGCTATACTCAATGGCATACCACCACCACAGCAAAAAAGTTATGAGGCAGTCTGAACTATATGATAGTCCAGAAGAAACTCAGGATTACAATCAGCATAACCATTGATTCTTCATTAGTTTAGTAACTGAATAAGCCTATTTGTCATCTCAGGAAAAATGAAAAAAAAAAAACAAACCAACTTTTCTATTGGTGGAGGGACAGTTCAGGAGAGGAAGACCCCAGATGAGACTGACTGACATGGAAACTGTGGCCAACGGGGTTAGGTGTGCTCAGTACAGAGCAGGGTTCAGAGCTACTGTACATAAGGTTGCTAGGAGTTGCGGGCAACTCAATGGCACATAACAACATCATTATTAATAAACATGCATGCATTAGATACTTCCTTAGATCAACTTGTTCCTTAGGAAGTCCTCTTCTAGTTTATCCAGCCAAACTCTCTCTCTCACTGAACCCAAGTCCTGAATTTATGTTAGTCCATGAAGTTTTAACTACATTCAGCCTCCAAGCCTCGCCCTTCCCTAAATCTTTCCAGGTCTCTGGAATTACCTGCTATAGGTACCTCTGTTTTTTTTTTGTGGGTTTTTTTGTTTTGTTTTGCTTTTTAATGAATCCAGCTGCTGATGTACAGGTCTACCTCTATGGTCTTTATTATGTTTCTTAGTCTCTAGCTGACATATTGTGTGCCCACTTAGTTGGTTACCGTCTGCACCTCTCCCAAAGAACTAGTCCTTCACTCTTGGAGTTTAAGTCTTCTTGTGTTGATAATCACACCCAGGGTATGAGGCCAATGCCATGTAACAAACATAAGATCATGTGGCACTGACTGTGTCCAAGGTCTTTACTCAATGACAGCCTCATCCATATGCTTGAAGGGAAGTAAGTTCTCTCTTAACTGAATGCACTATGAATTAACCTTTTAAAGTCTATTCACTCCCTAAAACCCAGTACAGCATTATTCTGTGCTATCTACCACCTGGAACCATTGATGGCCTGTCTAGCATCCTTCTAGGGGAGTGAAAAAAAAACACACCAAAACAAAACAACAAAACCAAGAGTTGAATCAAGTTTATTTAAATTTTAAATATTTGTCTCAAAAATGTTCTAAACAATTTTATAGGGAGCTCTGGTGGTCTAGTGGCAAGAAGCTGCACTGCAATCCTAGGGTTTGAATCCACCAGATTCTCTGCCAGAGAAGGAGGGGCAATCTCCTCCTGTACTAGTCAAATCCGATTTGACGGCACACACACACAAGATAAGAAAATAAAAAAAAAAAACAACAAAAACAAAAACAAAGTAAAAAAAATGTTCTAAACAATTTTATAAAATACACAAACTACCTATGTCATATGAAAGTCTCCATTTTATCTGTGGAAGAAAAAAACCCCACCTTAACAAAATCATATAAACAACTGAGGGTGTCAGGAATGACTACTGAGATTTTCCTGGAGAAGACAGGAAGAAATTATAAAATACCAATCTGTGCACTTTATCAATTGCCTGGTAGCACTAGTCTGCATGCCAACTATCCCTCAGTTTCTTGGGTTTGTGTTTTTTTTGGGGGGTTTTTTTTTTTGTTGGTTTGTTTTTTTTTTTTTATGGTTTGAATTTCAGTTCTTTATTTTGAAACAATAAATTGTTAGGTGGTATATCTACTGTATTTATACACCTTGATAAGTTTCAGGAACAACACAGCCAGATCCTGAATACCTTGTGAATATCTTGATAAAGCTTGAGTAGTGGGCTCCTCGCGGATGGACACTCCTTGGAATATCAGGGGACAGCTGCCGATTTCTCTCACTGGGCAACTAGAAACACAGCTGTGATGTCTCTCACTGAGCAACTAGAAACACAGCTGTGACGTTTGCTGCTTCCCTGCTGAGGAGATGAAGCATATAAACATCTCAAGCCCTAGTACAGCTTATAGAAATTGCAGTGCAGAACATGGGAGGAAGAAGTTTTCAGAACTAATGCCCAGTGGAGGAAAGGCCCATCACTAATCAGGATTCACATGCCTTGTTGAAGAAATGCCATCTATAAAGCTCAGTAAGGGTGAAGAACACAGGGAGCTCATGGGACTGAGTCAATACCAAGCTGTCACTCTAAGTATACACGTGAGCGAAATGCTTTCTAGACTTCAGAGAAGGACCATGAGGTTAGGCTGATCTCTAAGTCTCCATTGCCGGAAGATTCTCTAGTTGTGAATTTTCTTGTTGAGAGATCTCAAGCTTCCAGGTTTTAAGTAATATTATTTGTACAAAAGAAAAGTAGATTGAACACTGGTCCCTTGGGGACGTGAGACTTCTCTTGGAGGTGTGAGGTCAGGGAAAAGCACCAGTTGCCTTGGATGCTAGCAGTAAGAGCTGGCCTGGGGTCCAGCAGCATTAGTTCATGGCATATGTCTGCGCCCAGGCAATGCCCACATGGGAATAACAGTAGAGGAATCCCAGGACAGAGAGTGTCACCCACGGCCACCCTGTAAAGGAGAAAAGGAGACAAAAGAGCCATTAGCAATGCTTGGGATGAGATTCAACACAAGACACAGTGTACACAAAGACACATATCTCCTGTAGCATTTGCTGTCATGGAAGCTCCAGAAAGTTGAACCTGACATGTCCATTGCTGCTGTTGTTGAATATTGTTGAATTGGAACCAATCCGTAGCTGACCCTCTAATGAGTTTCAGAGCCCATAAATCACACAGAAGGAAACTGTCCATCTTTCTCTCATGGAGAAGCTGGTGCATTCATACCATGTTCCCTTGGGTTGGCAGTACAGTTCCTTACCAGTAAGCCACCAGAGCTCCCTGCATATTTCCACTCGGTTAAGCCCAAAGCACTGTGGTAGCACACTGTTCATTTTACTAATATTACTAATAATACTATGTCATATTAACCATAGTGCATGAGAATTCCCCAGAGAAGAGAAGGAAGGTGAGCTGAGAGCCCTATGAAGTCCAGCTCTGAGGCTAGACCTATGTGTGGTTCTGCCCCTACCATGCTACCCATCAATATTCCCAAGGGCTCCAATAACAAACATCACTTATTACAAATAGGGTGTAACTTTAGACACCAGAAATGTATTCTCTCATAATCCTGGAGACTAGAAGTTCAAAATCAAGGTGGTGGCAGAGCCACACTCCTCGCTGGCTCTAGAGCCTTCCTTGTCTCTTCCACTTTCTAGAGATTCTAGGCATTCTTTGGCTTGTGGCTACATATGCCTACTTCATGTGCCTCCTCCTGTCAGTGTTTCTCTGTGTTATTTTCTCTTACAGGGACATTCATGCATTGGATTCAGGGCCCATTCTAGATCTGGGGTAGTTTATTCTGAAGATCTTTGGCAGTTACATTTGTAAAGGTGCTCATTCAAAATAAGGTCATATTCTGAGGTGACGGGTGAACAGGGACACCATTTATTCCATTACAGTCGGTCCCTTCCTAGGGCTCAGGGTGCACCATGAAGGTTCAGATACAGATGCTGGGGATTGCTCATCAATGCCTGCTTCTCAGAGAGCTCATAGAGCAGAGAAGTGAGGGGGCTTCAGACACACCCCTGGATTTCAGCTGTCTTTGGGGTGCAGCACCAGCTGGTGTTTGATAAATAAAGAGTCCAAGAGATGAACTGTGGAGGTTGGAGAAAGGGGTGTTTCATGTACACCAAGGGCACTTGATACCTTGGGCCATCAGGAGACAGGTCTGTGCAAAGCACCTGCCCACACAGAACTGTTAGGAGGAAAACTCCCAACAGGGCACAGAGAAGAGGCACAGATATTTTTCATTTGAGCCACAGTGAAAATTCTTCCAATCTGTACTCTGTCACCCAGAAAGGCAGCTAGACATGAAACTCAGTTTGGAATCCTGGCTCTGCAACGCTTAGTTCATCCAAGCTGGGGCTCATACACACAAAAGGAATGTGAAAAACATAAGAAATACAATAAGATTTGATAGCTCTTTCTTTTAAAAAAAAGCATTACAGAAGGATTAATATAGACTCCTCTGAGACCTGTATTATGTACACACAGCTCACTGGCCTTTTTAATGCCCGAGCATGCCTTTCTGACCTTAGGAATAGGGTATTTGATGACAAGGGAAAGACAGATTCCACAAGTCAACTTTCAACATTGTTTAACAGTCACTTTGCGAGGACTCTCTGGTGCCAGCTCTGTTGGGTGCTAACATCACCCCCTTGCTATCAGCACAAGGTCTCTGATAACGTGGCCATGGCTTCGGCCAACCAAGCTCAGGTGTGGTCCAGAGAGGACGGACACATAACGATGGATGGAAACTGGACCCTTCTCATCAGGGCTTCCCTCTGAACAGAACAGTAAAGCTGAAAAGGGGATAAGATGGGCTTCATTTTGTCAACATCCTGCTACAATGCAGACTCATCCAGGCTCGTCAGCCACTCTCAAAGAAAGTTGCCATCAAAAAAAGACTGCTCTTGTTTTTAGATGATGTCGAGTAGAGTACGACTCATAGCGACCCTATGAACAAAAGATCTGAACCCTATTCTATCCTGTGCCTGACGTACAAGAGCCCATGACAGTCACCATGCCCCTCCCCCCAAAATATATATTACTATCCTGAAAAAAAGAGTTCTATCCTTCTGAGCTGATCCTGACCTTCAAGTCATTCTCTCCTGTTCTTTTCTCCTTTCAAACTCTCCCTTCTCATCTGGCTTCACAATACCAAGTATAAAATCAATCTTGATATCCCCTTGAGCCCAATCACACACACACACACACACACATTCATACACACACACATACACAATCACAGCTGCATGTACACACACCTACACACACACTCCATCAACATGGCAGCAATGTGGCACTGATGAAAGGAAACGCTCCTTGGCTCCAGCTCTGTTAGTTGCTGCCATTTATGGCTGGGGCCCGGGGTCAACCTCACACGTCACTCTCTGGTGGGTTTTTGCTACCTGAATCTAACAAGAAAGATGCACATGAATACGTGAGTGTTCACTTTACAGGATAGAGACCTTTCTGATACCATCTTTTTTGTTAATGACTGAGAGGCGTGAATGAATTAGCCCTGTCAGCCTTCAGAATGTTGCCAAGATGCTAGCTTGTCTCACAGTCCTGTCCTCACCTAAGCACCAGGGACCAGGAGGCAGACCCACCCTCTCCCTGAACACTGTGGCCACAATCAGAGACCTAGGACTTTATGACTAACCATCAAGGGTGATGTCAACACCATGGAGAGGGCCAGGCACCTAGCCAGTGTTCATGAAATGTGTTGTGTAATGCTGAAAAGAAGGGAAGTCATCATCATGAACAATATAGGGAGCTTTGCAGGCCTAGTGATAAGAAGCTGCCCTGCAATCCCAAAGGCATGAAGTTCGAATGCACCAACTGCTCCATGGGAGAGGATGGACAATCTTCTCCTGTGTGATTTACTGCCTCTGAAAACCCACTGGAGGGTCAACTATGAGTTGGTTCTGACTCAATGGTACACAACACCACCACGACCAATCTACAAGCAGATATATAAGTAACATGCAAGCTGAACAGGTGTGGGACTGAGAATGGTGGTATATATAGATTAGGCAGAGTATGTTTCTACATTGCATTTTAATGTGCTGCAAATAGGGTACAGGGGGCACAGTTTGACAAGAGGGGGCAAAGCTATGCAAACTTCTGAATTGTAACCACACAACTTGAAGGAAGAGTCACTGTGCCTGGGGGCTTAGGACCAAAGTCTCAAGGGACAACAAGGCCAGTGACATCAAGGTCAGCTGGCATAGCATAGTCCACAAAGATAATGTTGTTTTTAAATTTTTTTTAAATTCTTAATTATTTTTTTTGTGTGTACCATCAAATTGGATCTGACTGGTACAAGAGGAAATTGTCCCTCCTTCTCCAGCAGATCATCTGGTGGATTTGAACCACGTGCAATCTGGGATTGCAGTGCAGCTTCCTGCCACTAGGCCACCAGAGCTCCCTCACAAAGATAATGCTCTACATCCTCTTTGGTGAGTATCAACTGAGGTCTTAAAAAGACACAAGTGGCCATTCCATGTAAACTACTAGCCTCTCCTTAATGGGAGCAAAGAAAAGTAAACAAAAGCAAATTCTCAAGGAAACAATTAGCTCAAAGGAGTAAAGAAATACAGCTTTCTCTACCCTGAGACCAGAAACACTAGATGGTGCCTCACTACCACTGAAGATCTCTCTGGTCAGGATGCTAACAGAAGATCTTGCAAAGAGTGGGGGAAAGGGGGAAAAGGTAGAACAGAACACAAAATCATGAAAGAGATTTATTGGTCTGGCAGAGACTGCTGGAACTTCCAAGACTGTGCTCCTCAGACACCATTCAAAGTCTGAAACTGTGTCTACTTCCTGGGATCAACTTTCAGCCAAAAAATATAGATGCCTATAAAGTGAACAATAACACCCGAGAGAAGTGTACTCCACAGAGCAATTAATCAAAACATGAGACCAAAAGGGTGGCATTTGCTAAAATGTAAAGCCCAGGAGACAAGATGAGTGGGGAAGAAGGATGATCAGAAATGATCACAGAGAGGAAGGGGCAAGAATGGTGGTATAGTGAGGGGATTGTAACTAATGTCATAAACTAAAAAAGCTCCAACTCATTGCCTCCAAGGCTGCATTGGCTCATAGTTGAACCTTCACTGGATTTTCTAGGCTTTAAACTGCATGGGAGGAGAGTGTCCCTCTTTCTTCCCTGGAGCTCCTGGTGGGTTTGAACCACCAGAGCAGTGTAGGTGCCTCTGCCTTAGCAGCATAATTCCTTCCCTATGGACTCTGCCACCAGAGCTCCCTCACCAAAGTGTGAATAAGATGTTGAATAAGGGAAAAAAGAGGAATAGATGCTGGCAAGTCAGTAATGGATACAAAGGGTTTGGGTAATACAGTTAGTAGGGCAGAGTCATTGACATTGCTAAATGCACATAAGTAGTGATGAATAGATGCTAGCAAGTCAGATAATGGATACAAAGGGTTTCGGTAATACAGTTAGTAGGGCAGAGTCATTGACATTGCTAAATGCACATAAGTAGTAAGGTTAGCACAATAAGTTCAATGAAGAGGACCAATGTAAGTAGCACAATAGATGGAATTAATGCGATGTAGGTGGCTGTATCCTATTGTTGTCAGTGAGTTACATAACTGTAGCTAATGAGAAGCAGATGGAACCCAGAGGGAACTGCCCACAGAATAGATCATGAATCGTGTCACCATGCTTGAGGTTACCATGAACAATGTCATCAACGTGCAAGGACTGGGAAGCCTGGATCGCAGGATCCCAAAGTCAAAGATCTTCAGCACACATGGTCATGGGAAGACAAAAGATGCCGTGAATTGGTTTTCCAGAAAGTAAACAGCTAAATCAGACTGAGAAAGAAATATAATAATAATAATAATAATGCCGTGAATTGGTTTTCCAGAAAGTAAACAGCTAAATCAGACTGAGAAAGAAATATAATAATAATAATAATA